GTTCCTGCCGCCCACGGAGATCTTCCGTTGGCAGGACGGCGGTTGTTTTGAAGCAGGATCTGCTGTGGTCCTGAAGTGGCCGAAGGCATAAAAAATACCTGTAGCTGCTAGTTACGGCTGACCTCACCCTGCGTCTCGGAACTAAAGTGCCCTCTGCGCTGTAGCGGTAGTACAGCGGCGTGGGGCTGCAGCTCCCCTCTGTCTCCTGCTGAGCTTTCCCACTTCAGCGTGTTATTGAACCCGGCGGTACACCGCTGCTGGAGGCATAGAGGCGTTGGGATGCTTTGTAGATTAGGCCACGTCTTGCATGTTTGGAAAAATACAGTGACGTGATTCCAGTCAAATTTGTTATCGTTTAGTCTGGTGTTACTGATGGTTGTCTGTGGGTGATGTTCAGAGGCTTGTTGAGGGCAGGTAGGCTGCAAAGCCAGAGTAGGCATAAAAACGGAAAATGCTGTTGTAGTTAAAACTTCCGAAATAAAAACGATAAGTGTGTTTGATTTCTTTCTGTTTAGATAATGGAATCTCATGCTTCTATCAACATTCACGAAAGTGAGGATGAGATAGAGTTCATTGGAGTAAGTAGCTCTTGTACTGGAAACACACTGCTTGTTGTGGTAAATATGCTCTTGGTAGCCTTGTAAAATAGGAGGGGGTCTTTGCATGCTGTGTTGATGACTATATTTTGGTCGAAAGTGTTACTTTTGGATTTAAAGATAATTTAGTTTGTTAACTTGTTACCTGCCACAAAGATTTATCTGAAAGGTTTATCTGCTCTTTCTTTGGAAGTGTATAAGGTGATACCAGTTGGGCCTATCGAGAGACTATAGGCTAGCGTTTCCCAGCAGGTGAGTGAGAGATTACAGTGATCAATGAGGTATATGCAAAGTCATTGTAGATGATTTCTCGTGTTGCATAACATTTTGCTTCATTAATAGTCCCACTGAAGTTAATCGAATAAAGCACTGCTCACTCTGCAAAACAGTGTCAAAAACACTGTACTTTCTTTAGAAGAGGAAGGAAATAATGGGTTAGAGGCCTTAAACGGTCCTCACAAATGGTGAAGCACTGTATAATAGCTACAGTACAACATCTAGTCTAATGCTGACATGTGGCTTATGTGAATGTAACCTTAAGACACATCTGTTGACTATCCAGGAAAAGCAGAATGTTTTTCATGCTGCCTGTGTTCTAGCCTCAGTCCGTCATCAGTGAAGTGGTGCTGGATGGCAAGAATATATGCAAGAACAGAAAGATGATTTTACCAAAGGAACAAGTCATGCAAATAAGATCAAGTGCTTAACTGATGCCAGGACTAATAATGGCTGGTTTCCTGAGGATTTGTCTTATTTTTAATGATGAAAAATAACTATATTTTTTTCTGTTTCGTATGGTGTTTGGTTAAAGCCTAATTTGAATGTACAGTCTTTTTTCTGCAGGGGTATTTAGGTGTTAAATTATGAGAGATTTTTTTTTTTAAAGTATAAGTAGTTTATTATCTCTGAAATTTGGTCTTTTAGTTGATTTGGTCAAAGTTGACTAATGAGTTCATTATCTACACACACAAGCATTCGTGTGTAGCATGATTGTATAAGCTTCATTTTCTTGAAACCCTGGGCGAAGAATGAGGAAGCTAGTATAGCTTTGAATGTGTAGTGATTGAAGGGCTGCTGGAGCACCAAGAGCAGTAATGGAAAGAAAAGAGACTTAATGAAAACCAACACTTGTGCTACCTGTTTTTTTTTTCCTTGGTTTCGCCTGTGGATCATATGGAGCCTTTGTGGTCCCAGTGATGATGGCTTCTGAGAGAGGCTGCTGTTTATAGGAAGGTTACTGTGCTTAGGCTTGTTTGTGCAGGGTTAGTATTTTGGGGTGAGGAGCTTACTGTTGTCACTGATGAATACAAGGCGAAAGGTTTGTGACCCAGGCCATCCCATAATGTCAGCAGTGTGTACTCAGGTTTCCTGTTTGCTCCTGAGTGAGGGTGAACTTGGACTTTGCAAAAGGATTTCTAAACTCTCTGGCTAGCTTTAGATCATTGTTTCCATATAATAACGTACAGGACTGGAAGTGTATATGCTGCATAAATGTTGTGTATGAATGCTACCTGATCATCCAAGTACTGTTTCCTTGGGCAGGATAAGGCGAGAGTGAAGGGATTCACAGGTTTACTGGGGTCTTTAGCACTTAAGTAGACAGATGATTCAAGTTGCCAGAGTCTACGCTGAAACATTGGACAACTCATAAATTGTTTTTGGGGTTGTTTTTTGTTTCACTATATAGATTCACTCATATTTTTTGCTGACTAATTTCTTAAAAGGTGAGGCTCATCACTGTGATTTTCTTTTAAAAAAATATAAGTTTTCCCTGATAAAGTTGGTGGCTTTCCTAAGCAGTGGCTCTTCATAGCTTTGTTACTTTATGTGGGATGTCAAAATAATATACACTTTTATGAAATGTTTAAATACCTCCTGAGCTGTCTGTTGCATTACAATGGCAAACAGTGTTAGGGAAGATATTTGTGTCTATTTTCTGTAAACATTTTTAAGTACATCTAAAGATAATGTATCCAAAGTAAAATGCAACTGGACAATTGAAGATCTGTGTATTTAAAAATTACTTTCATTTTCTAGTGCAGTGTTACGTTTATGCCAAGTTTTCTTCACTATTAGTGATTTTGATTTCAAAAGTCTGAATTCAATTTAAAATGTACTTCCATAGACCCTGGCTTATTCAGTAATGAGCTCTGTTGTGAATTCAACTTGAGATCCAGGAAAATGAAACATAGTCCATATACTTTGCAACTTTTTCTCTTTGAAATGTTTTCGCTGCACTTCATAACAAAAGATACAGCCCCTTTCTGTTCTGGAAGAGTAGGAGCAGCTACTTACTTCCTTGCAAATTTAAAGTTTAAGAATTTGTTTTTATTTCAAACCTGAAGAGGCTTCTGGCCTGTTTTGGAAGGTTATATTAGAAATTTGATGATATTAGGAAAATAGATTAATTAAAAACAATTACAGTTCTTTGAGCTCCTGCAGAGGTCCTAAGGAACAGGTAAAGTTTTTAGTTTTCCTTGTAATTGTTGTTTTCCAATAAAAATAGATACCTGAAGAATACTTGGCCCTGGGATTTACCAAAATCAAGAGATTTGCTGAAACGTGATAGTTACCACTTACATTTTCTGTTTTGTTCCCTTCCCCCTCTGAGGTTTTACGTAGTAGATATATGGACTCCATTATTTCTCTCTCTGGCTTTCAGTTGCATCACAGCAGGAACAGAAGAAAAATGTAGAGGTGTTATGAAGCATCTCTGAAGAAAGACTTTTTGGTTTTGCTCCCAACTCAGTTCAGACAAGGACTTGAATTTTTGTGTTTGCTAGGTTACAGAAATGAAAACTTTCTAAGTGCATGTTGGTTCACAATGTTGGTCGGTTACTCAGCAGGCTTAAAGTTGGAAAGCTTCTGGGACAAAGATGTAGAGAACAAATAATACAACTTGTGTCAGATTTTAAAATTTATTTTAATTTAAGCTTATTCCATGATAATTAGTATGCTTACATATGTATACATGGAGATGAATATGAGGCTCCATCTTTACCAGCCACCAATTAAACAGACTTGATTATATTAACTGTTACAATTGATATTTTGCATAGCATAGTGAAATTATAGTTTTGCTGATATGATGCTAATGCTTTCAATGAAAGCTATGAAAAACAGCAGAGACACCACAGCTGCCTGGAGACTCAAAAGGTGATTTTGAGTATGTGGTGTGAATGGGTGAAATATGTTTTCTTGTAAAATAAAATGACCTCCCCCTCATTGTGATTCCAGTACAGAGAAGACACTTGTAACCTGTTTATGGAATATCTGCTCAGACAGGAGTAGCCTTCAGGGCTTAAATGTGTATGGAACTGCTTCTGACTTTCTTATTGTTTGGAATGCCTTAGGAGTTTAATGTCTTTTGGAGTTGGAATTTAATTTGTGTGTTTTGAAAACAAACAAACCCCAAAAAACCATTTAGCATTGCTTACTGAAATCTAAGACTGTTCCTCTCTTGGTAACAGGCTGCTACCCTGTTACTAATGAGCAAATGGCGCAAGTTGAGTATCTTTTAAAATGTAGAACTAAGTTATTGAGAAGGTGAAGAATATAAGGTCATTAAGCAAGCCAAGACTGATAATTTGATTTTTTTTTTCTAGTTGCTACCTCTGTGTTAAATTGGTATTTTAATTATTTGTGAATACTTATTTATTTGCATGTTTTATCAATTTTATGGATTTGTCTGTTAAGTGGAAAAGTCTCCATGCAGGAATTTCATTACTGCACCCTCCTGAGACCTTGGTGAAATTCTCCTTCAGGTATTGCTAATGCTGACAATGTGCTGTAATGCATGCAATGTTTTATCTCTGAGGAAGACAGTTTAATGCATTTCTGTGTGTCTGTTTTTAACACTTTTTTTTCAGGAAGGATGTTTAAGACCTGTTCTTGAATGCATTGATCTTGTAAGTAGTGAGGATGAAGAACCTAACAGCAGCTCTTATGTTCATGTGAGTATGTTGTATGTGTTTTGGGACTTATTGGTCAAATAAAAGAATTAGTCTTTATATATTTTTCCCATCAGTTACTCTTCACAGAAGACTTCTTAGAGGTATTTTTAACAAGTAATAAATAAACCAACATTAAAATATTTTTATTTTTACCTACTGTTGAGTGGAAGGCAAGAATGCCAAAGCTTCATTTTTTTTTCTAGAGCCATTTTTTGCCTTCTTGAAATGGACTTGGAACTTTTATTTGGCTTCCAGTGGTTTTAACAAGTGTGTCAAAGAAAAACGACACTTTACAAGTGACATCAGAAGTCGATGTGTCCAGTCTTTAGTCTGCAAATGTATCTGGCCTACTCCCAGGAATTTTCCTTCTCAAATAACTTTTTAGGAGTGGTTTATAGGTTGGAGGACCTTATTCTGATGACAACCTGGTCTTAACTCAGCCTCATTCTTCATAATCCATCCTAAGAATGTATGAGTCAGAAGCATGCTGGTCAGTTCATGTATCTCTCATGCTCTTTGTGCCTACTCTGCAGTGCCTTTGAGAGGGACAGTGACTGAGAATGACTCTACTATAGTTGGTTTTGGCAGCGGTGGGCATTTCTGGACTTCTGTTTTGCAGTGTTGCAGTAGAGGATGTGTGTAATAAACCTGATTCTTAAGCAAGAGTGAGTCTTCTGTACATGCACAGGCTCCCTCCACAGTGATGATTGCTGCAGCTGATCGTGTAGCAGGAGCAAACTACAGTGTATGGCCTATCCCTTATGCTAGAAAAAGCTAATGATCTGCCTTTCTGAAGATACTGGGCAATGTCTGACAGCAAGAATGATATCAGTTCTCAGTTTTTCAGATGGGCTGCATGCTGGCTTTGAAATCTTAAGGAATTTTGTTAGAAGACTTAATTTCAAATTTCTTGGAAACTTGTAGGACACCCAGCAAAATCATCCATGTTCCTTCTAGTGCTTTGGTGAGGTTAATGTTGATGTCAAATTGCCTTGAATATGTAGGGATTGCTTGGTTTGTTTGTTTGCTAACAGAAGCTACAGATGCTGGTAAATATGAAGAGAAAGCTAGCAAGATAGGTCATGGATCTTAGGATCGGAGTATCTGTACTGAATTATGTCGTGATCCTTGGGCATCACTTTGCACCGTATTCGTGCCTGTTACTTAACGATTACCAAATAAAGTTTAACTTTTCAATTGTAGACGAATACTAAGCGTAAAGATCACATTGACTATCAAAAAGAACGAGTTGCATCAACCTTGGATCGTCTGGCACGACATGTTGAAGTAGAGAAACAGCAAAAAGAAGAGAGAAACAAAGCCTTTAAGGTATTGGGTATATTTTGTTTCAGTAGAATTGCATAATACAGGCCTCGTAGTCACAAGTGTGTTTTTCACTACTAAGTAAATAAAAAGATTGATGAGCCAGACCTGGAGCTAGCAACTAGAGATCTACAGACTTTGTCTCTCCAGTGGCTTTTAACTGATCAATTTGGTAGTCTTACTGCAGTTCCTAAGGGGGGAAAAAACCTAACTTTGTGCAAGCCAATGGCAAACGCCTGTTCTTGTTTGTTTATATAGCAGAGGGACCTTAATATCAATTATTCTGGTTAAATAAATGAAAAATAGCAGTTATCACAAACCACCATGCAGCAAACCTAGTTATCTGCCTGCTTTTGTCTGAGATTTTTAGGAAGCTGTTTGCCACATTAAATCTATCACGTAATTTTTTATAATGGGATAAAATTTTCTATGTGTAAGGCATAATTCTGAAGTTGAATCCTATTAATTGTATTGTGCAGCCATTTGAAAGGCATGGATTTTTGATTCTTATTGCAAACTGGGAGGTGCAGTCAATAGCTTAAGGCTGCTATCAAGGGGACCTGGACAGCTTGAAGGAATGGGCTTACAGGAACCTCATGAAATTCAACAGAGACAAATGCAAATCTAGTATTTGTGGAACATACTGACTTTCCAGCCTAATTTTGTGAACGCTGTTAATGGCTTTTAAAGTCACATAATTATACTATAGTTACAGCTTGTTATAGTCTACAATAGACTATGAAGCTGTAGTACAACAGAGCAAAAGGCTGTGAGATGCAGTCCAAGGTAGCCTTGAAGTCCAGAGGCCTACATCCCTCTCCTGTGTCTTCCACTTATAATTTGGCAGTCTGTTAATGTGTCCACAAAGTTTTTCAGCTGTAAAGTAGAGTCAGAGATAGCTATGTAGCTTTTAAAGTAGCCCAAGAAGAAGGCTAAAAAATCCTTTTGTTAATGATGAATATTTTCCTGCTGGGCGGCTCCTCACTCCGCATCACTTAATGCAATCTGCACAATTAAAATTACTCTTCGAAGTGAAACTGTAATTTTTTTGTTTGGTTGGTTTTTTTTTTTGCCTCGGCAGTGGAACAAATTGACTCTTTGGTTTCAATAATAATTTTGTGTTGCCTTTTTAATGTAAATTTCATCATCACCTTGCCTGATATGTTTTCCCCTTCAGGAGAAAGTTGATTCCCAGTATGCTCACGGGTTGCAAGAACTAGAATTTATTCGGGAACGCAGTGACACAGAAGCTGCAAGACAATGTGTGGACCAGTGGTTAAAAATGCCAGGTAAGAACAGAAAACTAAGTTTCAGTGATACATTTTTCTGAGTCCTGTGTTGCAGAATAGAACATCTGATAATTGCATTGAACAATATTGACATTGAGCTTGCAGGTGCCTCTTATGCATAACCAAATCTTGTAATATTAACTTTGCTGGAGTGTGGCATTTGAAGGTTCTTATACACTCATTTCCATAGAAGCTATTCTTCTAATGTTTTGCTGCTTAGAAAATTTAATATACAAAGTCTAAAAAGCACTAAGGCAATGTTAACTACGTTTATGAGCCAAGTTGCTAGAAATAAAAATATTACTGTTGAACTGTTGCTCAGGAAATCGTCTGTGTAAGTATAATTTCAGGAAGCTCAAATATTGCCTGGAGGACCGGTGTCAAAGTGTTTGAAAAGTAATCCTACTGGGGATTGAAGAGAGATTCTTCAACTGAAAGAGCAGACTTTACTGTACTATGATTGAGTTACAGTGCATCGTTAGCTTGCTTTTAAGAATCAACATAAGTTGACTTTAAATGCTGTAGGGCTTGTATATTATTGTGTTTGGTTTCTTAAGCCTCTGTAGTTCAGATTCTGGTTAAGCACTTTGTTTTATAACACAGGTCTCAAACCAGGCACCGTTAACAGTGGAAAAAGGGGTATTTATAAAAGGGCAAGTCAGACGCAAGTTAACAGCAGTCCCATATCTTGTCCTGTGATGCATTGCAACAGAGAGTTTGATAATGTTCATCTTCTCGTAGGTCACCTTCAAAGGTAAGGGACATACTGCAAGAGCTCAGTGCAAGAAATAATAATGAAGGAATATGCTTGAACCTAGGACGTCACCATCAAGTCTACTGTAAACTGCCTATAGTGACAATATTTAATTTGGAGAGCAGATTAATATGTTACGCTTTTATATAGATGATGTGATGGAACTACCAAAAAACAACCAACTAGGGTTTTTTTGTTTTGTTTGATTTTGGTTTTTTTATTCAGAATTTATTTATTTCTTTGAGCATTTTTTAGTGTCTATTTTTTTGAGAACAAGATTTGTTTTCCAATTCTGTTATTTCTTCATCCAATCTTGAAAAAGAGCAAAATGCTACCGTGTACAACTTAATTGTAAGATTAAAAAAATGCCACTAATGAAGGGAAAGAGAGAGCTATAGGCCAGACAACTGTTCATAACTGGTCATTGCTAGTCAGCACTCATTGTGTATGGGGTCACTTCCAGCATATACTGGAACTAGTGAATGTGTCATGGAGAAGGTGGTAAGGAGAGAAGCTGAGGGGAGTGTTGTGGGTTAAACCTGGTATAGGCATCTCAGTCCCACATAGCTGCTCACTCACTCACCCTGGTGGGATGGGGAAGAGAATGGAAAGGTTAGAAGTGAGAAAACTCTAGGCTGAGATAAAAACACTTTAATAAATAAGGCAAAAGCTGTGCATGCAAGCAAAGCAAAATAAGGAATTCCCATCAGCGGGCAGGGCTTTATTACACATAATGGTTACTTGGGAAGACAAATGCCGTCACTCTGAACATGCCCCCCGTCCTCCTCCTTCACCTAGCATTTATCGCTGAGCATGATGTCATGTGATGTGGAATATCCCTTTGGTCAGCTGTCTCAGCTGTGCCTCAGCCTCTTGCCTACCCCCAGCCTGCTCACTGGTGGGGCAGTCTGAAAAAAAGAGAAAGCCTTGACGCTGTGCAAACTCTGCTCAGCAATAGCTAAAACATCCCTGTACTATCAACACTGTTGTTCGGAAAGCTAAAACATAGCACCATACAAGTTGCTATGAAGAAAATTAACTCCATCCCAGCCAGAACTAGTGCAGGGAGGTAAAAATAAATTAAATTTTTAAATCCCTCTGTAGGACATGGAGGCTTTGTTAGTTCTTTTGTTCTTAAAAACATTACGGAGAGGGAGAATCACCTCTGTACAGGAAACTTCAGCTGTTAGAGTTAATGATAGGGGAAGTGAGGAATTTTAAAGTTTAGGTTGATTTGGTAGATTTTTGTCCAACAACTTCAAAAGATAGAATTTTTCCCATTAGAAAAACAAACCCAAACATTTTGACTACTTGGAGGGGACTAGTTAATTATTTCTTCCTTTCCAGGTTTGATCATTCTCCTTGTGACCCAACAGTCACATTACATGGACCCCCAAATAATGCTGTCGCCTGTGTGGTATGCTGCAAAACATTTTCAACCTCTCAGCAGTACAGTGATCATCTTTTATCTAAGGCAAGATCATAAGGATAAGTAACTCGCCATAGAGGGCTTTCAAGATGTATGATTATGCACTGATTTTTTTTTTTCCTCTTTTAACCCTCTTTCTCTCCCCTCCCTTCTTTCAGTCTTCAAGATAGTTTTTCTTATTCTGATGTGTTCCAAACCCCTGGTGTATCCTGACAGTACTCCTGACCATTAGGTTGTACTTCTCAGTGTGCTTTTGAGAGGATCCTATTTCTGTCTTGAACCTCTTGCCCCTCTATTGGTGCTGTTGAAAAGTATTTCCTTTCTTTGCATCTCCAAAACTATGAAAAATAAAGACAAGAAGTTAGATTGAACTAAGTGATGGTAAAGACAAGCAGCAGAAAGGACATGAGGAAGAAGAGGCAATAGAATGAGAAAAGAACTTGAGTGATCCAGGTGCAGCTGTTCCTACTGTTTCCAGTCTCTCCAATAGATGTATTTGCTGCTACTCACTAGTTAACTTACAGAAGGGAAGAGGATGATCTAGTGTTCTAGGTTTGATTTGAATATAAGCTAATATTGCTTGCTTTTTTGTTGTTGTTCCTCCCTACCTTCAGTCTTTGTAACTTCTTTTTTTTTTTTTTTTTTTTTTTAAAATATCTTCTGTTCATAACAAACCACTGTAAAACCTCAGTTCCATGACAGAAACTCAGGTGTTATCTTCAGGGTGTGTGGTTTTATTTAAGCAGGCTGGTGTTGAATTGGATAATAGATAGCAGTTTCAAAGTTTAGTATTTTAATAACAAATATTGTTGTGTACCCACCTAGTCTCCAGAAGCTGTCTTAAATTCAGGGGAAGCTTTAGATACTCTGAAAATTGGACTACTTTTAGCTAGTAGTAGTAACTCCTGATATGTAGTCGTATCTGACAAGCTTGAAGGATTGCATCATAGTTTGCCCTTGCTCTTTTTCCACTCCTTCCAAGTTGTGTGCCTGTGTTGTGTCCAGGGGCATTATCAGGAGTTACAGACAAGTTCGGTGAAAGGGAGTGGCTCTTGCAGCGGGCAAGAAGATGGGATTATTTTGGTGTGGAAGGATGGGGAGATAATCCTAAACAGAGCTGTGGAGGAAAGCATAAGCATATCATGAAGATTCTTTGAGTGACGTAAGAAAGAAGTAAAAATGTCAGAAGCAAAATTAAAGGATTTTTGCCCTGAAGGCAGAAATTTGAAGTTGATGTAGAAGGCAAAAGGGGTTGTCCACCACAGGGTGGAAGGAGTTGACTTTGATAAAAGTTACAGACCTGTCAGGCTACTCTGGGGAGCAGCATTTTGAGCAGCTGGAAGTTAGCAAGATGGATAAAGAACTGACATGAGGAAAAACAGCTGCTTTAGTAGCAAAAGGAGCTTTTTCTGAGAGACTGAGTAAAGGGACCAGCTAAGAATTGATGGAACCCATAGTTCCTGGGGAAGGTGGTTGCTACCACTGGTACAGGAAGTGAATGGAAACTGAGTTTGACAATGGCAGTTTGGCCAGTCGCTTGTGTCTCATGAGCTGAAGTGCGCAGAGGTAGGCTGTAGATAAACATAGATGTAGTAGCTGAAAACCTAAAAGTGAAAATATTATTACAGAAGGCAGAGAGGAATGGAAGGACAGGAGAACTGGCACTGGTTTCTTTCCTAACTACATCACATTTTCTCTTCCAGCTAAATGAAAATGATGGACATAAAAAAGATCTCCCTCCACAGCATATTCAGTGTTTTGCATGCCCAAACTGCTTTCTCCTTTTCACCAAAAGAGATGAATGCTTGCAGCATATGTCAGGACAGAACCACTTCCTCCAGGCTTCTAAACTGAATGGTATGTTGCTGCTAAATGTACTGCCTTTCATTCCTTCTGATAGTTGATCCTTATGATATGAAGTGACTTAAGCTTTTTTTTACACAGTAGAAAAAAATGTAAGGTTTTAAATTTTGTTTTTAATTCTTATTTTTCTTTTAAGGTTTTAAATGTGATACAGTTCTGTAAGAGAAGATTATTTGAAATTCATTTTTGTGTAGAAATGATTCCTCCATCACAGCTGCTGTAATGAGAAGCAGACTTTCCTTTATCTCCATGCTGTGAGGTTTCTTATAAGCTTCTCAGCCTCCAGTGACTCTGTGCAACTACTCTCCTAAATAAGTTTACATTTAGCATGTTGACAGGAACTCAGACTAAACCACATAAATTTCTTTAATATAATATAATAAAATTCCAGTCAGACTGGCTGTGATGTTCCTTCCCCTTACTGTATTGTCTGACGTCTGACAGAGGCTATTTTTCTTGTCAGTATCCCTGACATTCCTGATGGAAAAGACCTGTGAAACTTTCTTCTCTACATAGAATCATAGAATCATAGAATGA